ATTTACAAATTTTGGGTTGATCCATAACCTCCTATCCAGATTGTCCGGAAATGGTTGTGAACTCACTGTTGATATATACAGTGCATTAATTACTGGCTTGTGCAGAGAAGGGAGCAATTATGAGGCAGATCAGTTAGTGGCACATATGAAAGAGAAAGGCATTTGTCCCAATAAAGAAATCTTCTGCTCTCTAATATTTGCACAGTGTAGGAACCTTGAAGTCGATCGTGCTGTAGAAAGTTTTAACCTGATGATGACCAAAGGTTGGGAGCCTCCTTTATCAATTTACAGAGCAGTAATTTGTGTGCTTTGCAAGGCCGGTCGGGTGAAAGAAGCTCAGACTTTGTTTGAGAGCACAATTGAGAAACGACGGAATTCTGATGAGATTGTTTGGACAGTGCTGGTTGATGGATTGATGAGGGAAGGGAAGTCAGATTTTTCCATGAAGCTTCTTCACATAATGGAATCTAGACATTGTGCTCCTAATCTTCTGACATACATAATTTTTGCCAGAGAACTCTCGAAATATGAATAGATAGAAGCAGAGCAAATTGGTAACAAATTGAGAATTATGAGGAATTCACAAGGAATTGAGCTTGCCATTTTCATCACCAAGAGCCAGAATGCTGCACTATCCACTGAATGACATATAAATATATCTGTCAAAGGGGCACTGGTTATAAACTGACTGGCTGCAGTTATGTAAATAAAGTTTTTGGGTTGACATTTTATTTTATTTGATTACTCTTGTGGAATATTGAAGTTAGTCTAAGTTTAGAGAAAATTTTTGGAGTGGTCAAACCCTTTTAATATTTTCTTTGTAGCTTGCTGACCTTTAGGTTAGTTCTTCAACATAGTTTTGAGAAGTTTGTGGTAACTTTTTTTTTTTGTTCCAAATACGGTTGTCCCGTGTATTTTAGCCTAATTATGGATTTAAACAATTCTTGAAGGATTTGATATTCTGAGCTTTAAAGCGCTCATTACTACCAGCATCTGCTGGTCTATTGTTGTCTCCATCATTATCGCATCATGTTATCATTACTACGATCATCTTTATTACTCACCGCATCATGGTTGTCTTAACTGCTGCCAATTTCATTGATGTTGTCATTGACACTTCAGTATCATCTTCGCGCCTGCCACTCATTCTACTGACATGCTCTTACTATTATCACCTGTTATCCAACTTCCTGTTTCATGTTGTTGTCCCACTACATATTAACCGGTGCAATTGTTATGCAAATGCCCTTGTGCTGCTACTGGGACCCCACAAGTACCCTCACCACTAAGACTTCGCTGACACCCTCATGACTACCATCTACATTATGCAAATGCCCTTGCTATTGGGACCCCACAAGTACCCTCTCCACTAAGACTTTGCTAACATCCTCGTGACTAGGGGTGTAAATGATACATTAGTACTCGCAAGTTACTCGGGTTCGATTCGAATAAAACTCGAATTCGATTCGATTATTATCGAGTCGAGCTCGAGCTCAAGTAGCTTGACTCATCGATCGAGTCGAGTTTGAATATTCTTATATTCAGCTCGAGTAGCTTGCGAGTCTAATCGAACTTTTATATTTAAATATTTTTTATTATTTTAATTAATAAAATATTTCGAATTCGAGTTCGAGCATAAATAATCGAGCACTTGTCGAGTTTAAAAATCGAGCTTATTTTTATATATTAATTGAGCTTAATCGAGTGAGCTCGAGTAGCTCAATTTCGATCACGAATCAAGCTCGAGCTAAGAAAATGAAACTCGATCGAGTTTAAGCCGAGTATCGAGCAGCAAGTTGGGAGTTGAGCTCGAGCTTCTCACTGTATCGACTCGACTTGATTACACCCCTACTCATAACTACCATCTACATTCATCACTAAAGTTATTTGTTAAACCTAGAATTTCAAAATGAAGGAATTTCGTTTTGGATGAAATAAAACAAGACCAATCTCTAAAACCAAGGATATTTGCCCAAATTCCTAACTCCCTTCCCTCCCAAACTAGACCAATCTCTAAAACCAAGGATATCTGCCCAAATTCCTAACTCCCTCCCCTCCCAAACTTTGTTCTCTCTCTCCGCTTTGTCCGACCTCCCAAGCTTAGCCCGGGGGGTAAATCAAGGGATTAGAATGTTAGCGTTTCTTATCCCATCATTCCCCAAATATGCCAAAATTCAATTCAGGTATCATCCACATATTATTTATGGCTGCTTGAACATGGCTTCATCATTGTGCCAAATATATGCTTAGAGCTATCCGGTTAGTTGGTTACAATGCTAAACAATTTGGTCTTTGTGTGCTAAACTATTTTTCTACTTTTTAGTATATGTATGTCCATGGAGTAAGGGAGTGACAAGTTTGGCTCAGTGTTTTTTTGCAGGATTTGGTAATGTAGCTTAGTTGTTTGCTATGCTGTTTGCTAACTATCCAATCAACCTTGATAACTGATTTTGAAGGTGTACTTCATATCAAACCAATAATAAATGATCTATATATTGTATGCCTCGTCAATCTGAATCAAGAAATTGATTTATGTTTTCTATCTGCTAACTACATGAAATTTTCTATTGTATGAGCTTTTGATCTAATGCCAAACTTGGTAACTTTATTCATGATTCTGCGAATCACCAACTAAAAGGTTTCCTTGTAGTTTATCATCAGCAAAACCTGATTGGCGAGACATCATTCAAATGGAATAAAGAAGATTCTTAAACATGGCCTTTTTCTCTTTTTTTTTGCCAATAAACATGGCGATTTCATGTCAGCAAAATCTTATTTCCATTCAAAAATTCACGTATCATATATTTTTGGACATCATCATATTTATTTCACATCACCACTGTTCCATGGAATATTTCTCCGAGTGGAAGATGTGGCTAAACACTCCAACAGTGAGTTCCCCTCCCTCACCTTCTTTTTCATTTCTTTCTCTCATTCACTCTTTCACTATGACCATTGCACTACTTTTCATATTGCTGGCTTGGCAAGTTCTCTCTGAGTTCTTTTAGGTCTCAAGTCTCAGACTGTCTCTCAAGCCCCTCTCTTTCTCTTCGCTTTTGGCTGGGCTTAATAATCTGCTTTCGATTATGTGCATTCTCTTAGGATGTATCTTAAAGTACTATCACATCAAAGTTTCCATGGAGATTACCATAAAATTTTATTCTTTCTGAAAGCATCATATCCCTTACGGGGCAAAGCATAAATACTTAACAATATAAGAATATTATTGATACAGTGTTTCACAATGTTACCAATCATCAATGCCATCTGCTACAGGTTGTCATGTAGCCCATGTATTCAGATGGCTACAAAGCTGGTCTAGATTTATGAATTAGGTTAATTTTGGTTTTTAAATAATAATAAAATATTTAATATGATATTTAAATTTTAAAATTTTTTAATAATATGATATTTAAATTATAAATTTATAAATTAATATAATATTTATATTTAAAATGATTAAATTCAAATAATAAATATTTTATTAATTAATATGTTTATAATTTAAATATTACGTTAAAAATTTTTAAAATTTAAATATTATATTCAACATTTAACTATAAAATTTTCGGATAATTCATAGCATTTAACTTTCACCTGTTGCTGATAACATTGTCCAGTCAAGAGGGAGGTCAGCGGTCTTAAAGATGCATTTGAGATGCTAGTTCTTAGACGAAATAGCCTTTGGCAGTATCCAATTAGCTTTGAAGTTAACAGGTGGTTCCATCCAAATCAACCACCCACTTAGCAATGATGATAATTTGGATGGCCAGGTTGGTATGAGTTATTAGTTGAACTATTTGCTGATTGCATCATGGCTTGAATTTAAAATATCTTCTCACGTCTCACCCCCACAATTGCCACCTGAACCAAATCCCATGCCCATTTGCTAATCAGATTTAGCCCACAACCAGTGTCTGGTATGGACAAGGGCTTGTCATACAATACAAAGAGCTCATAGTACCATGTTTTTGTCTTTACCCTTTTGTTTTGGATTGGAGCCCTGGAGAAAAGTGGTTCAACTAAATCTAATGGCAACGTGTTTCTATTATAAAAAATGGGCATGCTAGGACAAGGGTTTATCTATACTTTTTACTTTAATTTTGATATCTCTTGGACATGAAATTTGTCGGTGCTATTGCCTTACACCTGGCACAATCAGATTTATGATTGAAATTATTTACAGCATCAAAAATAAACAATCAAGGCGACATTATAATAGTAATTCCTGACGAATAACGATCATAAGTGGATTCATGTTTATGACATTTTTCTCATTGCTTCTCTTGCAATACTTAAAAACTTTAATATATCGACTCACAAACATTGCTATTCTTCAATCGTTTCGGGTATCTTTTTTGCAGAAAGCGCAATTCCAAAGACACCTTATATTTGGGTTCCACTTGCTTTTAATTGACACTCAGGACTCATTGCAGTTTTACATTTGGAAGTGTTCATCTAATGCATGGAATTTGTAGATTCTTAAGGAAAGGTAGAATTAAAGAGCAGAATTAAAAGTGTCAATAATTCTGTGATTTGTTAGTAAAATATTGAATTTTTAATTTCAATTATCAAAATATAAATTCTGGTAATCTCGTATACCAGAAAAAAAAAAAAAAAAAGGTCCAGAGTTGGACACTGGAACATTTTGTCTCCGTCTTTATCAATAAGTGTCGTGGTTTCTCTAATTCAGTTAATGTGTTTGCTGGGGCCTCATTGATTACAGTTAAGCCTCATCAGCTTCGGTTCATATAGATACAGGAAGAAAGAGGTAATGCTGGTGGGTTTCCTTTCTTTTTCCTCCATAAGCATTCAAGTAGTCTGATCAGAAACATAAAAATTCCGAAAATTATTCCTTCTGATCCTCTGTCCTTTTCCATACAACCAAGGCCATGGCCTTAAAAAAAATATATAAAAGTTAGTGATTTGAAAATAGATAAAAGAAATAATAAGCATCCAAACGTGCCGGTGAATGCACCATCTTCTCCGAAGCTAACTTGGTTTTTAAAGCCAAGCCAACACCGCATTACCTAACCATTTATTCCCCACAATGCTCCCTTCCAAATGCTACTTCCCAATTGCATTTGGACTCTATCTCTCACGCTTATCCTCCGTCAGGAAAGTACTTTTCCCTACATATCCACCAACCCAACCCTGTCTAGACTAGCCTCAATACTCTTCTTCTTGGATTTTGCTGCACAGCAGCCGATTCTCCTTTATATTACATCACCCAGAATCATTTGGGATGGCAACAAAGATGTATACATTAATGTTGAACAGGAAATCACTTGACTATCTCCTATAAATACACCTGTATACCCCTTAAAAGCACCAACCACTTTCACAAAGGAAAAAGGCTTTTCCTATAATGGGTAGGCAAGGTGGTGATCCTACTATGGTTAGTTCCTCAATTGCCCTTCTGCAAGAAAGGTTTAGACAGCTGCAGAAGGTTAGAGAAAAGAGAGAGAAGAAAGAGCTTCTGAAACTATTCTCTGAATCCGGCCGAGCCAGCCCCACCATGCGCTATGAGCCCAACAGAATGTCCTTCCAACCTGAGGTGATTCTACCTTATAGGCCACCCCATCAGGAGTCATTCTCTCTTGGACTGAATTCGCATAGCAGGCAAACCGATTTCAGAGCTATGGCAATCCCAACAGCAACAAGCTTATGGCCTAATAGTGCAGCCACTTCAAGCACTTCTAAAAATTTGGAGAATTCTGATGTTGATACTTCTCTTCATCTGTAGAGGAATCTTACTCTTATGTGTTTCATATATAGCTCTTTGTTAACCTACTCTCTTTCGTCCTTTTTTTCTCTTTTTTTGGTCTGTAAGAATGGAAGAGTAATAGAACTATATATTTACTGATAATATATATCGCTCGGAGCTTTACAGATTGTTCATGGAATCAGAAAGACCGCATTCTGTTCTCTCTTAACTCTTGTAATTTCATTCATTTTTCCCACACATGTATGGGGTCTGATCAAATCTCTGTATTCATAACTATGGCGACAAAATTTAGCCATCTTCTTCATCTGTCATTCATTGATCATCAACAATTAACTGATACTCGATATATGAGCAACTGGAAGCCTGGAACAAAACAGACACTTATCAGATATACGGAAAATCTCAATATTCCATAGCTTTGCATAACAGGCTTATTCACTTTGCGGTGCGGCTTCAATGCAAATACGACAGTCATACACGAGAACTTAGCTTCTTCATCTTAAAGAACCCATGATTTAAATTACTATAGGTAACGATGGAAGTTAAACTTTAGTAGCAAAACCATCTGATTATCAGAAAATGTGCAAGATTTACAAGCAGAGAATTCTACTTTCAAGACCATCAATGCAATTTAATGGAAACGGCAGATTTTGTTTTAGGTTTTTGGCCCTTTAGTTAGAGGACAACAAAGGGTGTGGAGGGGATATTTTCTTTTTTCATATGAAATATTTGGTTGTTCTATAATGTAGAGCTTGCTTGTAGTGTAGTGGTAATGTTTTTGTGGCCTATAGTTGGTTTACACTTTCGGAGCTGTGTGTTTTTTTGCTGCTTGTAAAGTTGCTTGATGCGGTTGGTTCTGACTTTTAATGACATGCCGCCGGCGATTCTATGTTGCTTTTTTTTTTTTTTTCTTGTTTGACTGTTTTTTCTTTGTTTTTCTACGTTGGAACTTGTATAATTCATTTGATGCATACTTTTGTGGTATAAAAATAAAGTTGTTTCGTCGCTGAAACCATACATTTGGAAGGAAGCATTGACCTTCCACTCCACTTTTGTATCTTTGCCAGTGTTTGTTTCTTCGATTGATAATAAAGAGATCCTGATTTTTTAGACACCTGATGACCATCTTTCAACCACACATATTAATTCACCTGCTATCCTGCTCTAACTCTTTCTTAATCATTTTATAAATTTCCAAAGGTTAATGCACAAAGCCAACGATTCGGCCATCTCTCATTACTAGAAATTGTGCACCACATAATGTATTGTAGCTGTTGTAATGTATTAGTATCAATGGTACAGTGGAGATAGCTTGTTATGTTGAAGGTCATGTTTGGTGTATAAAATTATAGATCAGATAGGATATGATAATAATTATCTTATATCATATTTGATTTGTATATAAAAAAATGATAAGATTACAAGAATGATTAATTATTCTTAAGATTACAAAAATGATTCAATCCTCCCCAAATAAAAAATATATTTTTAATCAATAAGATTAAACTTATATATACAATTATACCCTTAAAAATTACATTAATAATTTAAATTATATAAACTTTAAAAAAAGATAATTTTGATGAAAAAACAAATTATCATATCCTAATTCTTACATACATCAAACATAAAATAAATAATATTATTTTATCTAATCCCATTCACAATATCATTTTATTTAATTTTATTATAATTTTATGCATGAAACATATTCTCATACTTTATATGTAAAGGTAAAATGATTATGACAAAAACCATGACTCTTTTCATTTTTATTTATCGAGATATTGATTTGAGTATTGAAATGCGTTTTAAAATACAAATTATGACTTTATCTTGCAAGTCTTTCAATTGAATAACATCCATAATAATCACAACAAATTTGAATTTCAATGTAACTAAGAAGTTAGCACACGAAAGTTTATAAGCCATAGAACAAAATTAACTCTCTCTTGCTTTATAAAAGCCCAACCCTTTCTCAAAAATCCAATAAAGTCAACAATTTCAAGTCCTCACATTGCGATATAATTTCCATTAGAGTAGTAATTTAGATTTAAAGGGTTTTTATGGGTTTGTGATTAGAATTGCTATAGGTAGAGAGCAAGCATCAATTGGCCAATATTGTCATTCTTTACATTTTTCAAGTTTCAACCCCAGAATCTTCACATAAAATTCTGGGGCTCAAGGAAGAGAGAACGGACCCTCCAAAATCAATTGCTGGGTGTCAAGCAATCAAGATTTTATACAAACCTCCAACCAATGGTAAAGGCATGAGTTTAGCTGCTTGCTAGATCATTAATATCGTTGTAGTGTTTTACGTATTATTCGTTCATGTTCCAAGTAGTCAAACGATATTTACTAACTGGTTCGCACAATTGGACCCCTCCAAGAATTCAACTCAATATAATAACTTCATTTCAAAATTTATCATTACAATAAAAAACATAAAGATTTTTTTTAATGGTATAGTCGCTTTACTTAGATTTTTCTATACCCTAATAATAGTTTCAAATTTTTATTTTAAAAAATTTATTGGAATATAATTTTAGATACATATTTTAGTACTGAGTTTAGTTTATCATTACAAAAACTAATTTCATTTTCATCTTAAATTATGTATTAGAATGTAAGTGGAGGCCAATTAACATACTTATTGACCTAAGTTTTTATTAACTGGTTATATATATATATATATATATATATATATATATGGGGTAGTTCTAAAGGCTGTGTTATGGTTGCAGCCCACAGTTTTCCAGATTGGGCCGATCCATTTTTAATCTGTTTCAGAGCCTAATATAAATGTACTTGAAAAAAAATAAAAGAAAAAGTATTTGATGACGTGGCAGACTGAATTCACCATAAATCCTCACTTGCCTAAATGACGAAAATACCCAAAATTTTTTTGCCATTTTTCTCCAGAATCTTCCAAAAACCAAGTTTCCCAGAGCAAAACCCTACTAAAACCCTCCCAATATAATTATCCCTCCCCTCATCCAACCAAACTCATTGAGTTATCATCCTCAACCCACCTAAAGCTAACTCGCTGCTTGTCTCCTCTAATTCTGAATGATGCACCGTCTCTCCCGGCGTTCGGTCTCCGCCACCCTTCGCGCCGCCACTATTCGTTACCGGATCGCTGTAGCGTCTCCAATCTCCTCGTCTACTCCCATAACTGATTCGGTACTCTTTCTCATTTCTCCCCGTAAATCTTCATTTCGTTAAAAGTCTTATCTTTTTAAAGTGCTTACCTTTCTTCCTTTTTTTTTTGTTTAGTTTTGTGAGTGATGATTTGAAACTAATGGAAAAGTTCTTTTAAATTATTTTCTTTCTTATTTATTAATCGCATTTTCTTTATTGATAATGATTACTCAAAAGGATTTCTGAAATTATGTCCCTTCATGAAATATGCCAATTGGTTATTTTATTATAATATGATTTGTGTTTTATTAGTTTTATTTGATATGTGACCAGGCAGTGGGGAGTGATAATAACACCAGGTGGTACTCTGCAATAAATGGAGGGAAATGTAACACGGCCAGACATTCAGCTCACTTGAACTTGAAAAGTGGTTTGTTTTTGGGAAGCCGATATGAGTCAACTGCAGCAGCATCTGATTCGGCAAATCTACCTCAACCTCCAGCTGAGAAATATGAGTATCAAGCTGAGGTATTTTAGGGGGGACTTATATAAGTTCTTATTTAGAATTTTGATGAGTTTTTTTAATGATGTTACTGTTTCATACATGGTTGTCAGGTTAGTCGTCTCATGGATCTTATTGTCAACAGCTTGTACAGCAACAAAGAGGTGTTTCTTCGGGAGCTTATCAGGCATGTTTTGAGAATTCGTTTGTCCAAACTTGGATTTATTAAATTATGAAATCAGCATGTCAGTTATGTTGGACCATTATTATGAGATTGTTTGAACATGAACAATTTGAAAATTTGACTCTAAAGATGTAGACTTATATTATTACCCTGTGCATACTCTTTGCTTCCTCGCTGCATGAAATCCAAGATAACTATATATGGTTATTTTATCCCATCTGATCTGGTATAAGGACTATTGTAATGTCAGATTTTTTTATTTTTTATTTCGAAGAGATGACAGTAATGCTTAGTTAATACCGAGTTGTCTTTGCAATAATCGAACTTTAAGATAAAGTTATATAAGAGTCTGTCTGATTCCATTACATAATGTTTGCTATCCTTAAATCTTTTTTTTTTTTTTTGAAATTATGAATTTGTTTCCACAGCAATGCAAGTGATGCCTTGGACAAGTTGCGGTATCTAAGTGTTACAGATCCTCAGCTTTTAAAGGATGCTGTTGATCTTAACATACGTATCCAAACTGACAAAGACAATGGGATAATAACTATTACGTAAGTGTATGAGCTTTAAGATGCTTTGGTGAGGAATTTTTTTAGCAATGCTTGTAATGCTACTTTGTATTCTATAGTGACTCAGGCATTGGTATGACACGACAAGAGCTTGTAGATTGTCTTGGAACAATTGCACAGAGTGGAACTGCAAAGTTCTTGAAGGCTGTGAAGGTCTAATAATTAAGTTAACATTTTATTTCCTGATTCTAGGCTCATATGATAACGGGCTTTAAGAAAATGTACAAATTTACAGGAAAGCAAGGATGCTGGTACGGACAACAATTTGATTGGTCAGTTTGGTGTTGGCTTTTATTCAGCATTTTTGGTTTCTGATAAGGTATTTAGTTAACCTATTATTTTTATCATCTTAACACGTGAATTCAGAAGTTCTCTTAGTGGCAGTTGCTCATGTAATTCATTGTTATTGTAGGTTGTCGTCTCAACAAAGAGTCCAAAATCTGATAGACAATATGTATGGGAAGGAGAGGCAAATGCTAGCTCCTTTACTATACGGGAGGAGACAAACCCAGAAAATCTCATTCCTAGAGGAACACGCCTTACATTGTATCTTAAGGTCTCTTTAAGTAACAAAGAATATTTAGTACCTTTATTTGTTAAGTCTTAAACTTATCTCTTGTTTCTTATTTGTCCATGTACTTTCAGCATGATGAAAAAGGTTTTGCCCATCCAGAACGGATTCAAAAGCTTGTGAAGAACTATTCACAGTTTGTATCATTCCCAATTTACACGTGGCAGGAAAAGGGTATCACTAAAGAGGTGCTGTCAACATGATGTCAACATTTGCATTTTTCTTGACAAAAGTCATCAACTAGTTTTTGGGATAACGAATCTGTTATGCTTGGCTTATCACAGGTTGAAGTTGATGAGGACCCAGTTGAAGCCAATGAGGCTAACCAAGATGAAAAAGTTGAGGTGGTTACCTTTTTTTTTAGTGTTATCATCTACAGGCTGATTAGCAACATGCTTGTGATTGATTTTTTTTTTTACTTTGATGTAACAGAAGAAGAAGAAAACAAAAAAAGTTGTTGAGAGGTTCTGGGATTGGGAGCTCGCAAATGAGACTCAACCAATTTGGGTGAGTTTTAGAATTGCTCAAGTTTCAGTTTTTTGCATTTTTGAAATGTTTTATTTGTGACTAATTTTATATAATTTTATCTTTACAGCTTCGCAACCCCAAGGAGGTGACAACAGAGGAATACAATGAGTTCTACAAGAAAACTTTTAATGAATACTCGGATCCATTAGCATCATCACACTTCACAACTGAGGTAATAACAGTGATTATTGTTTAGTGGGAAGTTATTTGAATCAACTTTGAAAACTTTCTGCAGTCTCTTATGGATTCAATTCTAAGTTTTGGAAACTACACTGTGGCTTTAATGTCCTTTGAAGATAATACTGTTGAAAATATATGCAACCGTAACATGGGACTTGCATCACTTTTCCAGTTTTTTTATTTCATTTTGTAAGTTATAAACATTGTTTTTACAGGGTGAGGTGGAGTTTCGTTCTGTACTCTATGTTCCAGCCGTTTCTCCTATGGGAAGGGATGACATAATCAATTCCAAGACGAAGAATATAAGACTCTATGTTAAAAGGGTCTTCATTTCAGATGATTTTGATGGAGAATTGGTAATCGGATGTCTCTCCTTAATGCATGAAAGGAATATACTTGATTGAAATGTAATCTGACTTGTGCATACCTTCTTGTGTTCTTGGTTGAATAGTTCCCTCGATATCTAAGCTTTGTCAAGGGTGTTGTGGACTCAAATGACCTTCCACTCAATGTCTCACGTGAGATTCTTCAAGAAAGTCGCATTGTACGTCTGATAATTTTTTTCCTGAGAATTATTGTTCAATGTTGAAAAAACAATTTCTTTTTCTTAATTGAAATCTTCTAACTATAACTTTGTGCTGTTCTTGAAGGTCCGAATCATGAGGAAACGTTTGGTCCGAAAAGCCTTTGACATGATTCTGGGAATATCATTGAGTGAAAATAAAGGAGTATGCATAATATTTTTTACTTGTCTCCTCATTGTCTGCCTCCTCCCCCCTCCCCCTCCCCTCCATCCCTTATGTGACTGTGCAAGTATATTTGCTGTAAAGAGAAACTTAAACAAAGCATGGCTAATAATGAAATTTATTTTTGTCATTTTGTGAGTGAATTTATCAGTTCCTCATGCCATTTTGCTTTAGTATGCTTAATATGTGCTTGCATTGTAGGATTATGAGACATTTTGGGAGAATTTCGGAAAACATTTGAAATTGGGATGCATAGAAGACCGTGAAAATCACAAGCGTCTTGCACCATTGCTTAGATTCTTTTCTTCCCAAAGTGAGGATGAGATGATTAGCTTGGATGAGTATGTTGAGAACATGAAACCTGAGCAGAAGGATATCTATTACATTGCTGCTGACAGTGTGAGCAGTGCTCGAAATGCTCCTTTCCTGGAGAGACTTCTTGAGAAGGATCTTGAAGTACATCTCTTTCTTCTTTGAAAATCAAAATGAATACTGACCATATTTCTTGTGCTTCATTTTCAATTAATTTTTTGGGTGCCATCTTCCTAGGTGCTCTATTTGGTAGATCCTATTGATGAGGTTGCCATTCAAAATCTGAAATCTTACAAGGAGAAGAATTTTGTAGACATTAGCAAAGAAGATTTGGATTTAGGTTAGTGTGTGAGATCTACTTATTCTCATGAAGTTCTACAGTCAGCATTGGTTGGCTATCTAAAGCTTTCGTTCTTGCCTATACCAGCTTACTCTTGTGAATTACTTGGCAGTTAGAACAATAATTCTCTTAATGCTAGTCATGGTTTACCCATATTTTTAATATTTTTAGATGTCTCATTTCTGTAGGCGATAAGAACGAGGAAAAAGAGAACGTAATCAAAGAGGCATTTGGCAAAACTTGTGATTGGATTAAGAAGCGGTTGGGTGAAAAAGTTGCCAATGTCCAAATCTCAAACCGTCTGAGTTCATCACCCTGTGTTTTGGTATCTGGGAAGTTTGGTTGGTCTGCCAACATGGAGAGGTGAATATCCTCTTGTTTAATCTGCTTTTGGGATAAGAATTTTCTTTAGCATCAGTTAACATGAACTGATTGTTTTCCAGACTAATGAAGGCACAAACTGTCGGTGATACCTCTACTTTGGAGTTCATGAAGGGGAGAAGAGTGTTTGAGATCAATCCTGAGCACCCAATTATTGGAGAATTAAATGTACGTTGATGAACAGTAAACTTAATCTCAACCCCACCCATTATCATTTAATGGTAACTTCTTATACTCTCTGCAGGCTGCATTCAAGAGCAACCCAGATGATGAAGATGCCTTGAGAGCTATAGATCTTTTGTATGATGCAGCACTTGTTTCTAGTGGTTACACTGTGAGTTTTTTCACACATAATTATTTTCTGTGAGAAGAATATTATATTACATTAATTTATTCCATAGACTGAAGATGCCTTAACCTTTTGAGCTTTGTGGAATGGAAGTTAAAGATCTGAAAGTTTTTTAGTCATTGATTGTTGGAAACATGCCACTCTTATTGTGAAAGTGTTGATGCTCCTTATATGTATAGTGCTGTTATAATCTTGATGTGATTTTATGCAGCCTGACAATCCAGCACAGCTCAGTGGTAAGATATATGAGATGATGGGAATGGCTATTTCGGGTAAATGGTCAACATCTGATGTCCAGCATCCGGTGCCTCCCCACACCGAGACATTGGAAGCTGAGGTGGTTGAGCCAGTTGAAGCTGGTGGTCAGAAATGAAAAGTTTATGAAAGTTGTTCTTCCATATGAACATATACTTTGGTTAACAAGTATCAGATGTATTTTGGATGATTAGAATTCAGTTTAAAACAGCTAGAGGAGAGGTAGAAACCATCCACCAAATCATTTTCCTTTTTTATTGGGCTGGAAATTATCTAATCATCTTTTTAACTTCTATCTTTCACTTCTAAAGATTTCCGGAATGAATGCACTGTGTCTAATTTGTATGGACTGTACCAAACTATCGCAAATGTTCACTTATATATTACATTTTTCTTTCATTTTCTTTCCTTCTTTTTTTTTTTCTTTTAATTTAGTACTTATTCTACAATATATTAATGTAATCTTAACATACCAAAATAGGCAACTAATAACATATAAATATAATATACTGATGTGAATTGGGATAAAAAAAAAAAAGGAAATAATTATTAAGGATATTATATTAAAATTTGTATGTAATAAAAATTTTAAATTATTTTAAATTTATAAAATTAATAAATAATTGAAATTTTATTCATTTTTGGAAGCAAATAATAATTTTGTTAATAAATAATTAAAAATTAATAATAATAAATCCATTATATAATAAATTGTATATAACTTAATTCACAATATAATAAAAAAATTTATTTATTTATTATTATTTAATAAAATTTATTTATTATATTAAATTAATAAAATTATTTCATAATTTTTAAATAAAAATAAAAAATAAATTATAAAGATATTTTTATTTTTGTAATATAAAATGAAAGACCAAAAAAAACAAAATTGCCATCCATTTCCCATTGGACCAAAATCCATTAGTGGAAAAACAAGGTTGAACTCCCCAATCGTGTTGCTGTTAGGACATTCAAAATGGATGTCTAGTGTCAACTGACACAAATTTTGTTAATAATGTCATTTAGTTGCTTATGAATTCAAACTTATCCTGAATCAAATCCAATATATTTTTAAAATAAAAAAATAATAAATACAAGTGTTGATGAAAAATAAAATTTGTTTAAATAAATAATTATTTAATTACTTTAAGATTATTTTAATTAAGAATTTTAAAAATATTTTAATATATAATTCTTTTTAAAAATTACCGACAGATGGCAGTATTTATTAAAAGACTACAATCGTTGCATTTTTTTATTTTATTTTCCTTTTGACTTTTCTTCATTATTAAAAGTAGGGGCACTCTAAGCTTTTAAAATTACGTCTTTAACCCTACAACGGCACTACCGTTGCATATCCAGGAGAGAAAGTGAGCCCTTGGATCAATAAAAGGCCATAATCAAAATTCCCCATTTCCTCGAACGACTGTCGACTCTGGTCAATCTCTCCTTCTGCAGTCTCCGCCGATCGGACCTTTCAACCCTATCTTCGTTAAGGGTGATAACCTTTCCTTCAATTTTAGTTCTTTCATGATTTTAATTTCATTTTGAGTTTTCGACCTTGTTTGATTTGCGAAATTTGTTGGTTTCTGGTTTTAGGTTTCTCGATTATGTACACATTTCTTACTTGGTTGACTTTGGAATTTGTGATTTTTGGCTAGGTTTGACTTAGATTAGGGTTTTGACCCATCTAACCATGTAGTTGACTGTACGAGATCAGAAGGATTTTGTTTGAAAGGAACGAATTTAGGGTGGTTTTGAAAACCCTCAAGTGCTGGGATGTTGACATGAATTTGAAGTTTTGGATTAATTTTTTTGGTCAATTGAGTTGGGATCATGGAGTAAAGCTGGATTAAAAACTTCCCAGAATTAATTTTTGGGCCTCTAAGGATTGAGACGAGAGAAATGGTTATCTATAATATTTACTGTTTTAAATGTAATTTTGTAGTGCTGAAATGCTTGATCTTAGTTTTATATGGAACAATCATATTGGAATAGTATTACTTGTTAAATTGTTATCCAGGTCTTTATTTACAACAATTATGGTTTTTTTTCTTACTATTTGCATATAATTTGAAGCAATTTTGGAAGAAGTAAAAGAGAAAATAGCAAAACTCAAGCAGGAGCTGTACTAGAAAGAAGCTTAAATTTTTTTTTTATTATTATTATTATTATTATTATTATTATTATAAATTGTGCTAGATGATGATTTGTTGAATTTGCTTTTATTTGCAGAGTAATCTAGATTTTATTGATGGGAACATCATCTGGTTCTAACATTAACCACCAGTATTCATCCAAGATGTTGCCCCCACGTCAACAACCACGACCAGGGAGCTTACAAACTTCATTGTCCTTGGTCTCCTCAGATCCTCGCTTGTCACCTGATATCCAAGAACCTAGATCAAACTCAGATAATATTCATGAGTCTCCTACTGAGAGTGCTAGTTCACGAGAGACTTGGCCTACTGCTGATGCTGTCACAGCAAAGAAGATGGAAAATGGAAAAACTGAAAATGATTGCCATGAGCATTCTGTCATTCGTCGTGTTTCTAGTGCTGATAAGATAACTCTTCATGACATTGCAAGAGAAAGAGTTGATGTTATCTCTGAAAAGATGCATCACCTACCTGATGAGTTTCTAGATGAGCTAAAGAATCAACTCAAGGCTATTCTGGAAGGTAATGGTGGTTCACAAAACAGGGAAGAGTTTTTGATTCTGCAGAAGCTTGTTCAAAGTAGATCTGATTTAACTGCAAAGACATTGATTAGAGCGCACCGGGCACAGCTTGAAATCCTTGTTGCAATAAATATGGGAATTCAGGCTTTCTTGCATCCAAACATCAGTCTATCCCAAACTTCTCTCATTGAAGTTTTTGTGTACAAAAGATGCAGAAATATAGCATGTCAAAACCAGCTACCTGCAGATGACTGCACCTGTGATATATGTGCCAACAGGAATGGTTTTTGCAATCTTTGTATGTGTGTTATCTGCAACAAGTTTGATTTTGAAGTAAATACCTGCCGCTGGATTGGTTGTGATTTGTGTTCCCACTGGACTCATACTGATTGTGCTATTCGTGATGGGCAAATTTGTATGGGTCCTGTTAAAAGTGGAGCAGGTCCTACTGAAATGCTTTTCCGCTGCCGAGCTTGCAATCGAACATCCGAGCTGTTAGGTTGGGTTAAAGATGTCTTCTCACATTGTGCTCCAGCCTGGGATAGGGAGGCTCTTGTGAGAGAACTTGATTTTGTCAGTAGGATTTTTCGTGGAAGTGATGATCCCAGAGGGAAGAAACTCTTTCGGAAGTGTGAGGATCTTTTAGAAAAAATGAGGGGTGGACTAGCAGAGTCCGCAGCTTGCAGATCAATATTACTATTTTTCCAAGGTACAATGTCTGCTAATTATTTAATTATCTTTGAAAATATCATGTGAAACTTTTTTGTTAGCCCATGAAAAATGTTTGGGGGATGAAAAATACACTCAGTTATGCATTTATTTTTCTTTCAGTGGCATTTGATGAACTTGCAAGTAATTTTCATACTTAATTCTGAATAATCATTTATTTATAAACCTTCAGAGTTTCCTGCTTGTCCTCAGATGATCATGTCATACATTATAACTGCCATACTGCTTTTATCACAACCCTGATTTGGGCAGGTGCTTTTTGTTTAGTACCTTAAGTTTTTAGGACAGGAAAGTTTGAATTGGCGGATTTATAAATTCTACTTGTACAGTGCATGTGATTTTTCTTGTTTTGTGTAGGCTTATTAGTTTCAAAATTTTTTGTCTTCAGCTTTGATATGTGTGATAATCTTGCTGAAATTATCCATGCCCTTTTGGAGAAATTTGCACTTCTGTTTGTGATTCAAATAAATGAAAGCCTCTATTCTATTTTTGGTTGGGATCTTTAACTCCAGACTTGACATAGGATAGCAAAGGAGGGTTGTATAAAATAGACAAAGTTGATCATGAGCTATGTGTTGTAATTTTAGGACTTAGTTGGATTAGAAAAAGATAATTTGGGGTTTGACTGTTTCTGTTAGATGGAAAAGATTCAATCTTGACAGCTGCAAGCAAATGGAAAGGAACAAACTTGCCCACTGCTCCGGTTGTGAACAGTCTCTGTAGACAGTAACTTGGGGTTGGGTTGAAATGGTGATAGTAATTTTTTTGTGGATTAGGCCTGCTTTAGATTTTCAAGTAAGATTTAGGACTGCTTGTTGGGTTTGGTTGATGGGATGTCTGCTTGAGAGTTCAAGTAAGATTTAGGACTGCCTGTTAGGTTTGGCTGATGTGGATATCTGCTTGAGTGTTTCAAGTAAGGTTTTTTTCGTGACAGTTTCAAGATTTAGGACTGCTTATTAGGCTTGGTTGATTTGGATATCTGCTCGAGAGTTTCAAGTAAGATTTAGGACTGCTTATTAGGTTTGGCTGATCTGGATATCTGCTTGAGAGTTTCAAGTAAGATTTAAGACAGACTATTTTAGAAAAAAATGCTGGAAATTTGGGAAGAAGAAGATAAAGATCGAGACTTCATAAGTAAATTTCCTATTTTATTTTTATTGCAAAATCCCAAAGGCTTCAGTTTCTATAATTGTTTCGCACAGTCATAAGAAGAGCATAATAGCATCTAAAATTCTCATAGTACAGAGGCTTCTACTACTAGTTTAAGGACTTGGATTCCAAAGTAGAAGGTACAAAGAGCGAATTCCCGAGAATTGTTAGGCTTGGAATAAAAAAAGACTCAAAAAGTCTGCAATTTTCAGTAAATTTAGAAATGAACTTGGGTAAATGAGTATGAGATAAAAGAAAGATCATGAGTTTCAGATATTCATGACATTTAATCTTGACTCTTCTTGAACTTTTTGTTCTCTGAATCAATAATTTTGTGTTGCATGAAAGTTCTCTTTTTTGTTTTAAATCATTGTTATTCCTTTTGTATAGAGCTTGATATGGATTCTCCAACAAGCCTGGAAAATGGGGAAAGTGGGCGGTTGATAGCACCACAAGAGGCATGCAATCGAATTGCAGATGTAGTGCAGGAGGCCATTAGGAAGATGGAAATGGTAGCTGATGAGAAGATGAGGATGTACAAAAAAGCTCGCTTGGCTCTTGATGCTTGTGACCAGGAGCTCAAGGACAAGGCCAAGGAAGTAGAGGAACTGAAGCTGGAGAGACAAAAAAAGAAAATGCAGATAGAAGAGCTGGAGAGAATTGTAAGGCTTAAACAAGCAGAGGCAGATATGTTCCAGCTTAAGGCCAATGAGGCAAAACGAGAGGCTGAGAGGCTTCAAAGAATTGCTCTTGCGAAGTCAGATAAATCGGAGGAAGAGTATGCTAGCAGTTACCTGAAACTTCGCTTGAGTGAGGCAGAGGCTGAGAAGCAATATTTGTTTGAAAAGATAAAGCTGCAGGAGAGCTCACGTGCATCACAGAGCAGTAGTGGAGGCGATCCTTCTTCACAGGTGTTGATGTTTTCCAAAATCCATGATCTGCTCAATGGATACTCCAAGACAGAGGCCCAGCCAAATGAGCACCACAGTTTTAGAACGAATCCCTAATGATATCTGAATGGGACGTTATTTATTGAAGCAAAAGCTGTGCGAGTTAGAATATGTTGCTTTGCTGGTAAATTAGAGTGTTAAGATTTGCTACTTCATTTAATCTATGAACCGTCAATCAATGTCAGTTATTTTATTATCTTGTAAAAGCAATTGGTAGAAGTTAATTAGGTTTCTTTTGTAAATTATCAGGGTGAGTATCATAATATGTTGTCCTTATGGGTGAACTTACTCTTCTGTGGCTGTTATGTTCAATGAGAATGCTCCGGCTTCATGTATTTGCAATTTCATGTTAATGTGTTTTAACAGCAACTTTGTTTGGCGACTAACAGCAACATGCATGCAACTCTTAAATGTTTTATTATTGTTACGGAGAGTATATAATTTAAGGGGCGACATATAATATATATATATATATATATATATATATCGTAGTTTCAACAGTACAAGAATTGATTTATTTTGTTAATACATGATGATGCTCCATAAATTTTGTTATACCTACCTGGCTTGAAATAATACAATTTCCATGAGCATTTATTTTTCGTTACAGCACTTTTGAATTGGTTCAGTGCAGAGTAAGAACTCGTTTCAGGTGAAATGGAGTTAATTTTGCCTTTGTCGTGGGCTTTCAGAGAACTCCCGAGCTCATCATGTGCAGGGAGATTGATGAGTAAGCTTCCTGAGAATGAACCAATGCTGTCAAATGTGATCAGCTTTGCTGATTCCATTAAGTTTTTCAGAGAATTAGTTACATCCATCTGGAGCCATAATGATGAATTCTTGCGTTGGTTCACCATCATGCCTCATCTTTCTTCGTGGATACTGTAGTATTGAAAAATGGAAGCTGTTGAAATTGGATGACAGAAAAATCAAATCTCAGATGCGATCCAACTGATTGGCAACTTGAGGCAGTTTCTCGTCATTCAGATCAGAAAAGTTATGCATCTTTAATTCTTTAATTAGCAAGTTGAGAGGGTGTCATTCAGGAGCTTAAGGAGGGATAACAAATCCACGGTTAGACCATACTGTCTATTTTCCAACCATTGATGCCTGTAAGTAGGTCAGTTTGGTTGATTGATTCATGGATTGAGATTTGACTAAATCTCCAAGTTGGACAAAGATTTTAAAAAAAAAAAGTCATAGAGCCATTGGAGAGTTCAGATTATGTGTCTTCACTCTTAAATGCCCTTTTCATAGCTCTAAATAAAGCCAAAATGGCTGAGGACATAACACTAGGGACCATTTGAGAGTGCAGATCTAGAGATTATATAAGATTTTCTAATATTCTTGTTCATGTATTGATTGCATCAAGTGCCTACACAAGGACAAAATCCTATATCTAACAAATCCAGCTTCAAAGGTTTTTTTTTTTAACCAAAAAAATTGTATTGATAATATCATAAACATATGGACAAGAATTCAGATTATAATCTTCCTCTCCATAGATGGTATTACATTTCTTTAATGACTAGTTGCTGCTAGTAAAAAGTGTCTTGATTAAACTTGCTCGGTGTATGCAAGTTCTAGTTGAAGTCTGTAGCACGTATCCTGAAACAAAGTGTAGGATTTATAAAATTGATAAAAAAAAAAAAATCTTCATTAAACTTAGCCTAATTAAAATAATGTACCATATGTTGCCCAGGGTGGTTAGGGGATAAATGATAATCGGTCCAAAAATTAAAATCATATATTATATAAGCTAGGCATTTAAGATAGCATTTCCAAGTAATAATAAAGTTGAGTGAGGAGTTCTACCAAATAAGTTTAATTCATGTCCTTGGTTCAAATCAAGCTTCTATAATTCTATATATAGTTTTGAAAAGGTTGTTTACATGGTCAAAATATGGTAATGGTCCAAATTAAAAATTTAGTTCTTCTATTGTGATTTATAAAATTTCAACTCTCGTATTATTTGAATTTGTTAATTTTAATCGAATCACTTATTCCGTTAAATTTTTGTCATAAAAAATGTTGATATATGATCATTAACTTAATGACATAAGTGTTGATTTTATTAATATGATATTGACGGTATTTATATGAAATTAACTTAACTGATATGACAATAAATGAAATTAGTTGTCAAATAATACAAATGATTTATATACTCATACAAAATTTAAATTTTAGTGATTCTAGTATAATTTATAAAAATTTCATCATTATACAAATTGAATTTGATAATATTGGTCCAATTACTTATAAGATCAATTACTTTTTATTAATTTTGCTGATGTGATTTATGCCTTTTTAGAAAAACATATGAATGTTATAAAAATCTAATATTTTTAAAACATAAAACGATTAAAAATCTAAAAAAAATTTAAAAAAATGATTTTTAAGCTTTTTTCAAATTTTTAAATACATTAAGTTTAATTTTTTTCAAATATACTATTTTTTAAAAATCATATTTCTTGAATTTTTTTAAAAATCAGATTTCAATTTTTAAAAAATAAAAAATTTGAACCTTTTAGAATTTTTTGTCTCTTTTAAAAGTTAATTTTTTTAAAATTAATATTTATTGAATTTTTTTCAGAAGGTCTGATTTTTTATAAATAATTTTCAATTTTTAGAACTTTTGAAATATTTATCAATATTTTTATTTTTTTAAAAATATGTTTTGAATTTTTTTAAATTATGCATTTGTAATTTTTAAGAAATTTTTAGATTTTTAAAATGTTAAATATAACATTTTTCAATATTTTAATTTTTTAAATATAATTTTTAAACAATAAAATAAATATTTTTCATAAATAAAAAATTTAAATTTGAAAAAATACAAAAATTTTCAAACAATGAATTTTTTAAAAAACTTAACATATTGAAAACAATTAAATTTGGTGTTTTCATAAAACCTAAAAAATTTAAAATATTTAAATTTTTTAAGAAATAAATTTTGATTTTATTAAGAAATTTAAAAAAAATAAAATTTTTTAAATTTAAATATTAGAAAAAAATTAAATTTAATATCTAAAATTTGATAAATTCTACAATTAGAAATTTATTTTTTAAAATTAAATTTTGATTTTTTAAAAAATAAAAGAAATATGATTTTCTTAGAAAAGTAAAATATTTAGAAAAAAATTTAATTTAATATTTTTAAAAATCAGGAAAGATTTAATTAATTCATAGATATGAATTTTTTAAATTTAAAATTAAAGCCTTAACTATTAAAAAAATAAGAAATTTGATTTTAAAAAATATAAAATATTAGAAAAATCAATTTAATGTTTTTTAAAAAATTCAAAAAGCCTAAAAATAAGAATTTTTTAATTTTTTTAAATTTTTTAATTTTCATATATTTTAAAAAGAAACAATGATTACATCAGCAAAATTAATAGTGAATAATTGATCATATTAGTAATTGGATCAAGTCAACGATTAATTTAATACTTTTAACATTAAAATTTGACGAATTAATTATTAATTTAAAATTATTAAATCAAAATAGTATGAAAATTAAATTTTTATAAATTAAATTAAGAGATTAAATTTTAAATTTCATTAAGGTACAAGTACCATTATCACAATTTAACCTTGTTATATACGTGCTTGTACCAGTCCCATCAAGAAGGTAACAATCAAATATTGTCAAAATCGATCCAATTGCTCTTTGAAAGAAAATAGCATATGGTTAGCCGATCAACAGCTATTTCCTCATGTTTGCATCTTCTTGTCCCTGCCTTTGACAAAAGTTGTCCACTTCTTCCTGGTGTCAACCAATGGTACTTAATGTTTGATTCATGTTCTTGATGCTTTCTGCTTTTATGTATGCACTGCTGATCCTTAAATCCAATCACTTCAATTGCAAACCCAACTTGTTAATTAATAACATTAATTAATGCAATGAGAAGTTTTCAAATAGTTAATTTTTAAAATTAAATTAAAAAATCAAATCAATTTTTAGTTGTCTTAATCTTTAAAATCTTTCTAATTACTTTTTAAAAATTATACGGACAATATAAATTATTTTGAAGTTTAATTCAATTATTCATGTAATAATTTTTAAAATGTGACATTAAAAAATTTGAATTCAAATTTCAGTATTTAAAATTTTTTATAAAAAAAATTTTAATTATTTTTTTTTCAAATTACGAAATTATTACTTTCTAGTTTTTTTTTTTTTTTTAATTTAAACAAGAACCTCCTTGTACATATGCATATTGGTTTTCTTGTACGGCATGGCTTGCATTTCCTTTCTACTGATTATGTCATCTACGTTTTAGATCTTGTGTTGATCTACATGTCATGTCAGTATCAATTTCAAATTATGCAATATTTTTGTTTTTAATTAAGGATTACATCAAGGTTTTTTTCAATTAATATGTAAATTATTGATAAAATTGTTCACGTTTTTAATTCGTGAAGGCTACATCTTGAATGTCTATGTCTTCCGTTTAAAATAAAATATGATGCTTTTATTTTTATTTTTATTATTGTTGGATACAATTAATGAATCACAGTTCAAATTTTGGGTGACAATATTATTTTGTCAGGTTGAGCCTAAATTATGTAATTACAACTCTTAAGAAACATATTTTTAAAATAAAACTTAGGATAAAGATTAATTTTGTGATGTATTATGGATCGGATTTTATTGATTATTGGATAAAAGAGTAATCAAAATATTTTATTAGTGTGAATGAAAATTTGTCTTAATTTATGCTTTTAATTTTGTCAATTTTTAGACAAAAATAATAAAATTAAAATATTTCACAAAATATTTTTTAATGAAAATAGTAAATTTTTATCATTTCATTTCCAAAAATAAAAAAAATTAAAATATTGTGACAGAAATTCAATATTAACTCATAATACAAAGGTAAAATTCACTTTTATCTTTAAACTTTATAAAACTCATCAATACCTTGATAGATAGGAAAAGGCCTAATACATTCTATACCTATCAAAGGTCAAAAGTGAGAAATCCATATTTTGGTTCATTCAATATGGTACATGATAAGATATACCCAATAATTTTGGAGTATTAGCATTATTTATATTACTTATATTAAAATATGATATCTTTGTTATTTCGAAAATAAATATATGATATCTTTAAAAACTTGAAATTTTACAAGTGGGAAAATTATTGATCAATAATTTTAATCAAGATTAATTGTTTTATCTTTATTTATTTTAACTTCAGTTAGAGTACACAATGAAAGATAATTCTTACTCCTTTTCTATATCTTCTCCACTTCAATACCTAAATCCAAAAAGGCACTATCAATTGTTATGGTTCACTATTCATGCTTTTGATTTGATGAAGCCT